TCAATGTCTTGGAGTCATTTCTAAGTGACTAGTCACCTTACACACACACGCACACACACACACGGTTACTCATGTAAATACAGAAACAAAAAGTTGATTAATCTATACTTCTAATAAAAATATCTTAAATAAAAAATTTTAGTTTACTATTTTACCTTTATAAATAATTTCAAACATCACATGATCTTTCTATAATTAAATATTTAAATTACAATCATATCATTATATATTTTAATCTCCAAATTACCCAATAATATCTTTTTTAATTCTCTATTCTCTATGTGTAAATATCAAAAAACTATAAAAAAAAATTAATTGACTACATTACCCTTAAAAAACATATGCATCATTATAGTTTTCAATAAAATCTTCAAAAAATCTTCAAAAACTCGATCAATAAATCATTATTAAATCTCAATAATGAGGTCTATGGTCTTGCTGGGTCTTGCCTCCTAAAATGGCACCCCTTCATCTTCTTCTCTCTTTTTGAACCGTAAGGTGAGGTGCTTTGTGCACAATGATTTTGGCACAATAAATAGATTGAAGATTTCTCCCTTGATAAACTCGAGCTTGCCAGGACAGTCGAAAATTCCACAGCTAATGGACATTGGAAAGTTGTAATGAATGGTGATAAAACTCTTTTTAAAAACGATCGGACCACCCTAGAGTTCTCGAACACAATCCTGTAAATCAAAAAGAAGGGTCAGCAGGCGCCAGAGTGTTTTTCGGTATAACCCCTCGGCTTGACCTCGATCATGGGTATGCTTGCATCATCTAACCTCTCCCGTTTTCTTTGGGAATTTAACATCATTATTCAGCGGGAAATAATCCTCGAAATAGTTGTCCATGTCTTGTTGGAGCAAATGGCTTTATGTCGAGGACATGTGTCAAGCAGATAATGCTCCGGGGATACCAACACCAAGGACACGTGTCAAGTAGGTGCCGCTCTGGGGACCTTCATGCAGAGGGCACGTGTCAAGCAAATAACGCTCCGCGGTCAAGATGCCAAGGACACGTATCATTCAGAGAACACTTTGCGGCCAATATGTCAAAAACACGTGTCATTCGGATAACGCTTGACAGAGAAGATGCTGAGGACACGTGTTATCCAAGAACACTCTGCGGACATGATGTTGAGAATTCGTGTCATTTAGAGAACACTCTGCAGACAAAATGTCGATAACACGTGTCATTCAAAGAACACTCCACGACCAATCATGCCGAGGATGCATGTCATTTAGAGAACACTTCGCAGATAAGATATGGAGAACTCATGTCATTCAGAGTTCACTCTGCGGCCAAAATATCGAGGACACGTGTTGTGTACCCCCCATGGCAGGAACATCCCATCATGCTTTAAAGGTAACGTTCCCGCATTATTTAAAAGATGATGGTTCATCTTCAAGGTGCTTAATCTCCTTAATGTGTTTCAGACGGTACGGGTTCTAAGAATATATCAGTTAACACACACAATTAATCTATATTTACATTATTTCTAAATGTTAGTATCTGAAAAAAAAAATTGATTAGCAAAACTATCCTTGAAAAATTTTTAAAAAAAGCTATTGTAGACTTATAGTAACTTTTTATTGGTCCAAACAATTAGCAGTAATCCAATTATTGATCGCGCTCTGAAGTTAAATATTGTAGTGTTTAAATGCAATCCAATTCCATACAGCTCAAAACACATTGGTGTCTCGTTAGAGTTGCTACCAACTTGAGGAAACATAACTGTTCTACAACTCCTGGAGTTCCATAGTTCCTAACACATATATATGGGTCCTATAAAAATGCCAAAATAAAATATACTTACCCCTCTGATGCTTTAATCTTGGGGTTTGGATTTTGGACGGACCCAGGCCGAAGGTTTGTCTTGTTCATTTCAGTTGTCGGCCAAAACAGCTGCGATAGACCAAATCAATTTTTTGATTCATTGAAATTTGGATAATTTTTTAAAGACTCTTTCTACATTATGCTTAGTTATTTCTCCTAGAAGCTATAAGCAAAATCATTGTCATCAGTAGAAGCTATGAGGAATTTCGAATATAAATGAAAGTTATCAACCGAAGAAACTATGATAAGTATAGTTTCATTGGTAGATTTATTCCTACATATCTGTGATTATTATTTATTTTGTATGCGAATGATCCAATTAGTGGGAATTTTTCCTTGAACAGCTGTTTTAATTGATTCCATGGTTTTGCTTCTTGGATTCATCAATTTAAATTGAATCCGAGTGTTAGATGCAAGTTTGTGAAGTAGACAGGCTTAGATGTTTCTATTTTTTTTTTCTTGTGCACCTCGAAGGTGCGAAAGAATTTTATTGATTCAAAATTAAATTACACCTAGCTAGAGAGAACGTATCTACCTTACCCCTCGATGCAATGTAATTACATTAGATAAAATAAAAATGAAGGTAAAAAAATGCATGCCGAGTACAAGAAATAATAAAAGAAAAAAAAAATTACTAAACATGCTACCTTTACACTTAATGCATGTGTTCTAAAAGAGCAATGTTATTGAGATATAATTTATTAACCTAATTTACTATGATATGATATTTGCATTAACTGTAGGACTCATCAATCATTGGAATCTGGTGTTGATCTAGTGGTTCTACTGAAATCACATCATTATGTTAAAAAATTAGATCAAATTTTTAGGTTTAAATAACATAACTCTTCCTAAAACCCAACTCAAAAGTAGACTGTATTAAAAGCAGCCCTGAAATGGACAAGATGACCTGAGAGCATGACATTTAATCTTGAGCTGGGAGTTTGAGCTAAGAGCATTAGTTGAGAGACTAAACCTGCAGAGTGAACTGAGATGGAAATTAAAAGGGCCTGATAAATTATTTGAGCGTTCAGAAGACTAAGCAGCGTATCAGAAAAGGCAGCTGGATAGTCTTTATGATAAGCTATCAACTCTGATAGATAGCTCTTATTAAAAAGATAAGTATCCTATCTGATAGCGAATCTGAACAGAGGCATGAGCAAAAATAGCCCAAAATCTCTGAGCAGACTATTGTTTTTTCGATGTCCGAGGGAACCTGTGAGTAGGCTTTGAGAAATCCTGTCTACCAGCATATGCAGAGTAATGCTACAATGAGTTTTCTTTTTCATATAGATCCTGAAAGCATCTGATCATGTTTGTCTTTTGTGGTTGCTAGTTTTGTTTGCTTTTGTGGCTGCTAGTTTTGTTTGCTTTTGTGGTTGTATCTATCGTCATGGAGAACATTGAAGCATCCTTGTAGGCAACAGAGCATTAATGCATATGGACCAACTTTTGTGTGAGTTCATATCGTTTTGATTATTAGAATCTTTAACACATATATGGTGTTACTTCTGAGTTGGTATGCATCTGTTCTGACTTTGTTATGAGTATGCTTCTGCAATGGTATCAGTGCAAGCTTTGGACTGTAGGTCTCACAACACTGAGCCAATTCAGGTCTCTCTCTTTCCCACACAGACAAAAACATTTTATTCAAGTGCAGTTAAATGACACATTCTCGGATGAAAATACACAGGTTTAACGAAAGTGTTGATTATTGCTAAAAGTGTTGATGAAACTGTTGGAATATTGAACATCTATGCAGCATGGCAAAGTAATGCACCACCCTCGGGTGTTATACTTAACTTGAAATGGTCTTTCAAAGAGGTTACGTATTGAGGATTCTTTGTTTTTTGAGACAATTTCACTTATCACTTATTTTATGTCATTGATTTCATTGTCAGGGAAACATTTTACATGGTTTAGTTTTTCACATTTTCATTATTTTTCTAGCTTACTGTCTAAATAAGCTTCATTATTTTATTAAAAAAAAAAAAAATCCAGGCTCGTGTAACCAAAGGTGTTTTATAATACAAAATCAGTAAAAAACTTTTTTTATAAGCTTCTTGGAAACATGTTTCTATAATATGACCAAACAACCCTTACTCAATCCCATTATAAAGATCCATGTAGCATAGAATTTTTGTAACTTTGCGATTTCAGAGACATCCCACAAATAAAAAATCACATAATTATTGAAAGGAGATCATAAATGTCCTCATTTTAGTCTCTGGGTTTTTGTAGTTTATGGTGTTTTTGAGTGTCATTCATGTCGATTTTGAGGTGGACGAGCAAATGGATTGTGAAAATTTGCAAGTCCAACCTACTCATAGTTGGGCTGTTGTTGTTGACAAGACCTGATAGCCGGCCACAGTTCAAGGAGTAATTGATTGTTTGTTTCCCAAAGAATGGTAAGAATTATTCATTTTCTATGAACCGTTGTTCAACTCACAAAGAATATGCAGATGTGATAAGATTTAGAATAATGTTAGATGAATTTAAAAATTAAGTTTGATAATTTCAACCATTGAATAGATAGTGAATCCTAATTAATGTTGAGAACCACAATAAAATTAATAGTTGTAATTATCAACAATAGTTTTTAACTCTATTTTTTAAATTCATCTAACGTTACTCTAATATTTATATGAATCCAAGACATTCAATCGCAAACCATACAATTTCTATTCACCTCTTACCAATCTCTTTGGAATAATTTGGATTAAAAGAAGTTTCATAGCAATAAGTCCTGCACCAACTTATTTTTGGCCAACAATGATCAGTAAGCAAGGCATAAATATGTACATCTTCAAGCCAGGGGCTTTGTTGTGCATTAATTAGCCTAGCCCATTGCAAACTCTCCAAGTCATAGATCATACCGACCCATTGTACTGTATTACATCCATCACTTTTTTTAGAGAATTGGTTGTTACAATGTTGCTTGGCTTGTTGAGATATCAGGTTCATCGCATCATGAGCATATAATAAACATGTCCATAGCATGCAAGCTTCAATCATTAAAGTCTTCCATTGATATTATATATTTATGGCACAGATTTATTTTTTTCTTGGTGGCCTACTAGGCGTAAAACTTATTCATTATTATTACATAATACATGACACCATTCTTAAGCAAAACTGTCCTTACTTCCTCCTTGTAAGGACGCCATTCATGGGTACTTGCATGGACCCCAAGCTGCAACAACACAAACACAAAAAAATAAGAGAGAGAGAGAGAGAGAGAGAGGATCAACTTCGGGTTGGGCCCAACAAATGGCTGAGTCAGCTAAAAATGGAGACATTAAAAGGGCTAGAGCAACATCTCCACGTGAGAAATTCAAGAATTAAATTCGATTTAAACACAAAAAATTGAACTTGTATTTTAATTTGAAACAAACCCTAGTTATATAACATGTGTTTAAACCAAATTCATATGTTTATCAATAGTACTGGGATTAAAGGATTCAGCCTGAAATTGAATTCAGGATTTTATAACTAGAGCGTTTTCTTGCAACTTGCCCGAGTTATAACCCTAGTTTCCATAATAAAGATTAACAACCCGTAAATAGAAAAACTTACACGGATCAGTGACAGCTGGTGTGCCAATATCGGACCTGCACTCCCCACGGACCCTAAACCAGAGATCAAGGGCGTAGGATCCATGATTTCGATAAGTGTTGGGCTCATAACACGGGCCGCCGGGTTTTATCGGCCCACAATCCAACTGTGAGCAGCACTCATCTAGAAACCTCTGCAACTTATCATTTGGAGCTGAGACCTGTGCTACACACCATGTCTTTCCCTGCATCATTTGATCATCTTGATTAAACTTCACATTTTCACAAATAGTAATTAATATCACCCACTCCTAAAATAAAAATACATGATATGACCTGCTAAGTGACATATGCAGATATTTATCGTCAGGAAGAACAACGTGGGCTTCTCTCTATCAGGGGTGTTCAAATTTTTAATTATCCGAATATTTCGAATCTATCCGATTTTATCTTACCCTATTGATCAGCGACCATAGAAAATTGGATAGAATTGTGGAATACCCATAAAAATTCCATCTTCCTACTCGACCCTACTCGCATATATGTGTGTGTGTGTGTGTGTGTGTTAAATTTTTAACATTTTAACGTTATTATGTTGGTTAATTGGTGCAGGTTAATTAATTGAATTGTGAAAATTATCTAAAAATTAATAATTAAAAAATATTGTGTTTATCCAATTTCCTATCCGACTTCCTACTTGATTGTTTTGAACAGAATTCGGATAAGAATAGTACATTTGATCGAGTAGGACATGTCAAGAAAAATCTCTTTCACAAAGAATTGAGCAAGAAGATAAAATACCATAATTTCTATCCGTAAGATAGAGTGAATACCGCTACACACTTTAGAAGTATAGTTTTTGGCAAGAATCGAACTTGGTATATCTTAATGGAAGTATACGAGTCCTGATCATCGGAATTAACTTGTAGTGGTAGTCAAACTTTGTTAAGGCCAACAAAATTGGGGCCGCATGCTCCAATGCCTAAAAGAAATAATTAATCAATCAGCTTAGTTAAAATATAAAATTTTTAGTAGTGAACATATCGGGTTTGAAAGCTCGATCTCATAAGAAATACCTTGGTTAACTCAATACATATTATTTTTAAATGATTATACATATCTGGAGTTTACGCAGTAGCCACAAGGCCGAATGACACATAATTGAAATGATTCTAATAAAATATAGTTAAAAAAAAGGGGCAAGCACTTACTTGCTTTTGGCCACCCCAAATGTAGTCTTCTTCAGAGGTGGAGCAAGCAAACATACAGAGGAAAGTAAGAAGGCACAATGATAGGCTTACCCTTGCCATGGACTTTTCCTATGAACTTTTCCTATGAGTGCTCTAAACTACGTTGTTGGTGAGATGCCGATGAGTTTAAATAGATTGTAGACTAAAGGCTTAGAAATTTCAACCGTTATGAAAGGAGATTTACATAATCTTACATGGATTTTGCTAACAATTTTGCTAATCTGACAATAAAGACAATCACTAGGTCAATGAAGTCTGTTTTAGGCTCTACTTTAAGGAAGACTCTAAAGAAAAAATATACCAATAAAACTAAAGTCACTAAAAATTAAAACACCAAAAAGAGTCAAGTTCAAATTTATCTTATTAAATTTTCAATTATCTCTCTCTCTCTCTCTCCATAAAGTTCAATTATGATAACAATATCTTGAACATAAAAACTTAGGTGTCATTTTGTAACCTCATGTTATTTGTCTTTTTTTGGTCTTTGTTTTCATTTTATGGCAAAAACAAAAAAATAAAAAATAAAAAGGCGTTTGGTGAATGTTTTCATTTTATTTTAGCTACTCCGTTTTGAAAACAAGGCTAAAATATAGAAACATTCAAAATGATGTTTTTAAAAAAATCAAAAAAAAAACGCAATTCAAAAGGGGATTTAATGAGATCTTAACTTCGATCTTCCTTTGAAACAAAAAATAGATTTTCGTACTTGAGTTTAAAAAGCCCCTCCCTCTTTAACCCCCCTTTTTTTTGCCTCCGCTCTCTCTCTCGACACCGGCGACAAACATAGGCGTAAAACGTCACTGCCAATCACTGCGAATGAGTTCTCAGATCTAGAAGCCAGCACTCCATCTCCAAGGTTAGATTTCACTCCATCTCCATCGAGCTCTCTCTGTACTTGTAAGCCCTAAATCTATGTATATATTGTTATATTTGGTTAGATTTGTGTGTTTGAGTGTGTATGTGTGTGTGTAAGAGAGAGAGAGAGGTGAGTTTCAGGGGGTTTGGGGGGTGGTGGATGGTGGGTTTTTGGGGGTGTTGAGTGGTTGGTGGGGGGGGGGGGGGTTTTTGGGGCTAGTGGGTGGTGGATTGCAGGGGTTGGGGGTGGGTTTTCAATGGGGTTGGGTGGTTGTTGGGGGTGGGTTTAGGTGGTGTTGGGTGGTGGGTTTTAAGTAAAATACCAATCATGTTTTTTTATTTTTGTTTTCATTTTAAAATGTAAATGATTACCAAACATATTTTTTATCATAGAAAAACAAAAACTAGTTATGTTTTTATTAAAAAAAAACATAAAACTGAAAACGTTGTCAAAGACACCCTTAATTAATATTTTTATATTTTAAAAAATAAAAAATTAATAAATTTATTATTAATATTAAAAATAAAAAATATTATTTTTTATTTTTCCTTTAAGCCTCAAAATATCTCGAGCCGCCCTTGCTTATGTTACGTGGCACCATCACTACGATCAAATAAGGGGGCAAAAGAGTATATGGTGGTTTTGAATGAGTCACCTCACTCGGGTGCAAAATTTGAAAAAGTATTTGGTAAGCAAATTATTTTGAGTTTGGTAAATCTTGCTTTGGACCACTTACACAAGACACTTTAAATTTTAAACTCGGAAAAATATTAGAGAAACACGATTATTTGGTTGGAAGCCAATAATAGAATCATTTAATAAATAACTAGCAGTCGCTTCTTGTAATTCACAAAATTCATTATATGTTTCTAACATTATCCTCTACATCACCATCACCCCCACCCCACCCCACCCCACCTCCACCCAACATGTTAAGAAGTATCCATTAATGTGCCACTTAGGTTTTTAAAAACAACTTAAATGTAATTTAATTACTAAAGATATTAAAAATTTTAGATATGGGACAGATAACAAATATGGTAAAAGTTATTATATACACTTGTTTGGCATATTTTTGGATGGCGAACGTATCAAAGTTCAGGTAGACTTAAAATCAAAACACGTACGACCTCACTTACTCGAACCGATATAGGATTTTAAAATCGTGACTGTTCAGACAATTGTAGCAAGATGTATGGTTACATTTAGGTTTTTTTCTATGTCTTAGATCTTCAAGGACTTTAAATAATTTTACAAAGTAGAGACGTATGAACAACACTGTAAAATAAATAGCAGGAATATAAAGTAGCAAGTAACTTAAATTCGAATTGGGAGGATGGAACAAAAATTGAACTTAGCATTAAACGAAAACAGTAAAAAATCACCGGAGTGATGTATTACAGGAAAAGTAAAATTGCTTGGCAGTAAGAATAAGTAAAAAGGTAGATTGGCTCTGTGAAGAATTTTTTAGATTGATCGTGGGATCTCTTTTCAGTGGTCTGTCCTCTACTATTTAGAGAGATGACTTTCAACTGTCGATCCATCTTTTCCGACCATTACTTATGATCATGGTCTTGTCCATTGAGATACATGAATTATGTTGAACTGTTTTCAATTTCTGGCTCATGATGTCACGTGTTCTCGTTTCTCGGGATTCTAAGAGTCCTACTGAACTTCTAACCATTTTGTCAATTGTGGACTGTCACAGACTCTCTTGCAACTGCCAGATCCTTTCCACATGTCACCCTATGATCTCACTATTTTTAGGTGTAAACCATTTTTCCCCAAAACGATGTGACTGAATACTCCATATTTGGGGCATCATTTTGGCTCTTTGAATTTAAACTTTTGCCACTACAATGGCCCTGCTTTGCTGTCATACCGCTATTGACCGCGAAACTCGAGAATTGTGGCTAAATCTCTACGGGTAGTCTTTCGGTCTTTTTAGATCTATAAGAAATGACTAACATATGATCCATCCATATCCTTTATTCATCATGTTGGCACATTCTCTACACATATATAATCCATTTTCAGGCCTAGTATTTTTTCGTTATTCTAACTTTCATTTTTCTTCCTTAACAATGGAGGCTCCTCATGCTACGACTCTTGAAGTGGCTCTTCTACGAGTGCAAGCTATTCAATACACTCCTCATACCTTCAACCCACTCTCTGATTCGTCTTTATTACAAGAGTTTGCCCTTGGGCCAGGCTTCAAAGAGATAACTCCAGACGAGGTTTGGTGCATTTACCTTTGATGGTGTGTGTCACACAACTTAGTAGAGTCATGATCTTTAGGGGCTTGGAAATCACTAGAAGACCCAGTCAGAGCTTCTAGGCTCTTGAAGACTGATTACTGTATGATTTGGGATCACAAACAGAAGATTTGTAGTGGTTCACCATCTCGAGAACTCAGCTAATCCACTCTTAAAGGATTCCCTTGCCCCCGGGGGAATTTTTATTGTTAAGGGGGAAGATTACATAGAGTAATTGTGCAGACTATTGCTCGAGTTTCATGGTAAGGGATATGCCTCTTATTTATAGCCTTCAAAGGTCTTGCCTGATTTCCTAGCGCGATCCTTGTCATTCCCTTGTAACGGATGCATCTTTTGTGCGGTCATCGTGGATAATGCTAAGGCGATTGCAGCTCACTAGCCCGAATGTTGGACCATTGCAATTTACACGTAGCCTTCTGATGGGTACCAACTGTCATCCCTGTCGTTCCCCCAAGTGTTGTTGGAGATCCCAACCTGCACACGTCTTGTTGTTTACCATAAGCTGCATGGCTTGAGTTCAGATGACCAAGTTGGGTTTCCAAACTTAACCTTAGTCAAGTTTTGGGTATCATCAGTTGCCCCTCAATCCCCCAGCCAAGTAAGCTTTGGCTGACCTGCACTGTGGCGAGCGAGATTAGCTCAGTGTGGTGGTTATCCTGCCTTGCCATGGACAAGACCAACTCGATTTACCCTCGAGATTTGCACGATGGGACGTTTTTCAATTTTTTTGGCGCTACAAATGTACGAAAAGTCATTTTTGCCTCGTTTATTGCACACGTTCATGGTAAATGTGCCACGTGTCCATTCCTACCCACGCCTTAAATGCCTTCACAAGCTAAACCTCCTTTGACATCATTTTGAAATTTTCCTAGAATTTTTTTCTAGACAACCCTTCTTCTCTCTTTCTGTCTGTTGCGATTTCACCTTTTTCTTCCTCTTGGTTGTCCATGCTACCTTGGTGAGTGCTCAGAAGCCTTCCTGAAGCTTGCTATGTTCATTCCTAGTGTCCATTTTGGGTTTTTAATCGTTGATCGCTCTCAATTAGGTACATCTTCTGCCTTGCTCCCCCCTTTCTTCCATTTCTCCTAGGGTTTTTGTCCACCCTGGACCTACGAATTCAAGGTGGTTCATCCATTTTTGCACTTTTCGCGTCTGCTATTTTAGGAGGCAAGGTTGCTCTTTGTCCTTTTTTCCCCTTTTCCTAGACCCTTACGCTACTGCTAGAATCTCTCTCCTTGGTCACTGGAATCTTGACTCTCGGGCTCTTGAGGATTGTTTCTCGAATGTCCCTTTTCTTTATGCATCTTTTAGTCTTCCTTTTTTCGACGTTGTTATGTCTACTTTTTTTGAAGCCACTGCTTCATCTGTCTCTCTTGCCATGGGCAACAAATCTCCTGAGTTCAAGGTCTGACCTTATCGTAAGAAGCATACCGAAGATCCAGACGAGATTGATAGCTTGGGGAATATGGGTGGTGAGATATATAACTTCCCTGGTGTTGATGTTTTTGACGCCCAGGCTATTGAGGTTGAGATTCCTTTGCCCTTTCTAAGCCCAGCTCTGAAATCTAAGAAATCTCGAAAGAGGGGACCCAAGAAAGGCAAAGTTGGGACCTCCAGCGGTGCTGGGAACACCGATGCTAACCCTCTTTTTTCAAACCTCATGGGGTTTAGCAAGGTTACCCTTCCCAACTTATTGGGTGTTCTCTTTGCAAAGCTCAGTTTTCCCAAGGGCATGCACTATTGGTCTCCCCACGTGGATTTCTGGTATGATACTAAGCTTTCCGAGAAGAAATGTTTTTTTGTTGCCTCCTTTGAAAATGGCCTTAGATTTTCCATTTACCCTTTCTCCAACATTTCAAAGTTTGTCCAGCCCAACTTTCTCCCAATTTTCTGGGGCATTCTGGTAGGTCCCTTGGTCTTCTTCAAGA